AATTCCTTGCTGTTATGCACTTTTTCTGGAGCTCAAAGTAGAAGGGAGGTACAACTTCTGGCTGCCCTGCCCTGGATCATTTCATCAACTCTCAGAAGCTAAGCAGGGCCAGCCCTGGTTAGTACTTGGATGGGAGACCACCAAGGAAGTTCAGGGTCAATACGTAGAGGCAGGCAATGGCAGATCCCCTCTGCTTGTCTCTTGCCTTGAGAGCTCTGCACGGTTGGGTGCTACTTGACAGCAGTTACTACCACACCACTTTTTTACTAGTACTGCATACTGGCCCATGCTGGCTTACTTTTAGTTCTGTTCGTAGCTCTTTGCAATTCCTTCCTGCAGAGTCCCTAGAAGTGCAAGTATGTATGAGTGTGGTATCCCCATCTTATGTACATATTGAAATGGCTTCTTGAATACTAGGCTGTGCAGTTGAAGTGTCCTCCTAAGCAGAGTTATACCTTTCTATGTCAGGTGAAAGCAATGGAGATACAATTTAACTCTGTTTAGGATTGCACTGAAACTACAAATTCCGGAGCATGACGGAAGACAGGAGAACCTGGTGTGATGTGGTCCATGGGGTCATGAAGAGTCGGATTCGACTGTACGACTGAACAACAAAGGATTGCACTATGGGCCAGTTAAAGAAGGGATGTGTGAACAGGGTTTTGGGGAAGGGGAGTTGGCTGCTGGGCTGCAACTGGAAATGGATAACACTAACTGCCATTGTAGGTTTTTGCTTATATAGGGCACTCTTCGGATCTTCCAAATTCCTCCTTGCTATGTCTTCATAATCCTGCACTGCAGTGGTGGTCAAGTATTCTACATTCAAGAAGCATTTTCTGTGTTGTTGTCCGCATATGGATCATAGGACACCCATGTTGCAGAAGATTTTGGGAGCAGTGCTGTGGTGCTCACCCTCAGCCTTGGTGACCCCAGGAAGGGGCTGAGGCAAGTGAGAAGCAGAGGTGGTTTGCCATTGCCTTCCTCCGCAGAGTCTGCCTTGATGGTCTCCCATCTAAGTACCGACCCTGCTTAGCTTCTGTGATCTGACACAACCGGCCATACCATGCCGCCTTCCCTCCTGCCTTCATCATTACTCCCTAGGAATGGAGAAGGCACAGTACAACACACCCAGCACTCCTTTGTGCATTTTGGGAAGAGATCACTGATGGCAAGGTGAATTGTCTTTTCGAGGGCATATTTACCCTTTGGGCCTGAAATCAAACAACAGTCATTCCCTCTCCCAAGGGAATTCTGGGAATTGTTCTACAATAGAGGCATAGAGATTTGTAACAGAACCTTCAGCAACCTTCAGCAACAGAACCTTCAGCAACAGATCTCAGGATACATTCCGTGAAACCTTGATAGTCAAATTGGGATAAAACCAAATGTAAATCAATAGTCTAAAGAAGCTCTCTACAATTATCACCTGTTTCTGAAGACAGCCCGGATCCCCCCCAAAACAGAAAGATCACTGCTCTGCATCATGAGGCTCAACAACTAAATCAAGTACTATACCTAGTTTAAACCATGAGTTGTTAGAGTGTTGAGCTTGTATGTCCAGAAAGTGTTTCCTGCCTCTGGTATACCAGGTTTGAATGCTCTTTTTATGTCAAGAGAGTTTAAGTGTAAAAGCTTGCAGTTAATTGCAACAAAAGCTTCTTGTTCAGTGTGTGTTTTCTTGGGATGGTTGACGTGAATTAATGAGTAGGTTGTTTTATCGTACGGCACTCAAGGCATTTGTAATCCATAACATCTATTATGTATCTGTACTTGCTGGTGATACACTATTTAATACATTAAGCTTGCCGGTCATTCTGGTTTTGAAAGTGACAGTTTTCCTAAAACCAGCACATGTTGGGGTTAACAGTTATGTGCTCACTTCTTTGGTTTTTTTTCTGGTAACTAATAAGAAAGTGGGGGAAAAAAGAAGCCAGTTCCCCTCCCCTCCCCTCCCCCCACGGCTGGCAACCATAGCTGTAATCAGAACCGAAAAGTCAACTTATATTAGCAGGTAATGCTGTATAATCTTGTTTGTCAAAGTGCATTATCCTCACCTTCTGAGTTTGGTTAGCTTAACGGTTGGATGCCGTGCCCAGTGTCCTAGGGACTGCTGATGAACCAAATGATTTCAGCAGTCATTTTTAAAATACTGTCCGCAGCGCAGTACTCTGAGATCTAAGTTGCGGGTATAACTTTAATAAAGCAGCTTTGTGCAGATCCACTTAGATCCGTTTAAGCGTGTCTTGAATCTCCTTACGATTGTCACTGATAAGAGGGATTTTTCCCCTTCATAATTCAATTGGTGTTGAAATCTTTTTAAGTTAAATACACGTGAGAGGAAAACAAACTGTTGGATATGTTACAGTGAGCGGTTTGTACATAGCTTTGTGAATAATGGTAGCTTTGCCTCTCTTGATAAACCTTAAGGCCTTCTTTCCTAGCCTCCCACATTTGAGAACATCGTGAAAATAGGCATATAGAAGGGCAGTCAGGTAAATAGAAAACCTGCAAGTGTAATAGCTGCACAGTTCAAAAGAACCGGAGTGAGGTGTTTTGTTTTGTTTTTGAGAGTGTGACACCTTCATTGGAGAAGGATTTGAGGACTATAGAATGTTATGTCTTTATCTGTATTACATTCCATGTAAAGCTTAAGACCTGGACTAGGATTGTAAACTGGAACAATCCTATTGGCTAATGTATGAATGTACCCAATCAGAGTGCAGAGAAATGTTCAGGAGGGAACTGATCTGATTGGAATATAACATCAACTTTTTTCTTTGCTGTCAAGTTGCAGCTGACTTACGGTGACCCCGTAGGGTTTTCAAGGCAAGAGACTTTCAGAGGTGGCTTGCCCATTGCCTGCCTCTGCGTAGCAACCTTGGTGTTCCCCCATCCAAATACTGACCACGGCTGACCCTGCTTAACTTCTGAGATTTCGTGAGATCAAGAGACTAGCCTGGGCTATCCAGGTGAGGGCAGTTTCAAGATAGATGCCTTTACACCCTGGCTCCGAATGGTACACATCCATACAGTTTTTTGCGGTATGCAGGCATCTATGCCTCTCTCTCCCTCTCCACTCAGGAAGAAATACAAACTTCTCTCCTTCTTCAGGAGGCCTCTGTCCTTTATGGAGATCTCCATATGCCAACCTGTCAGTGGAGATCTCCATGTGCCAACCTGTCAGTGTACCAGGGCTTAGAAGAGCAGAGGGCCAGAGGCAAGGGTCAGTCAGGCAGCAGTCTGGTTTTCCAGGGGGGCTAGATAAGAATCTGAGCATCAGAGGAAAAAGGCAAGTCTCAGGCTGACAATATCCAGTATCCAGGGAGGGAGCAGAAGTCCATCAGTGGCTATTAGCCACAAGGTATACATAGGAACTCTCAGTCTGGGGCAAGTGATGCTCTGTATTCTTGGTGCTTGGGGGGGCTACAGTGGGAGGGCTTCTAGTGTCGTGGCCCCACTGCTGGACCTCCTGATGGCACCTGGTGTTTTTGGCCACTGTGTGACAGAGTGTTGGACTAGATGGGCCATTGGCCTGATCCAACATTGGCTTCTCTTGTGTTCTTATGTAGTATGTTATGTAGTAGGATGTGGATGGGCAGATTGAGCTCATTCTGGCTGAGCTGTCCAGACTGAAGAGGAGGCCTGTGAGCCAGGGCTTTAAAGGGCTTGAGGTGTCCCGATTGGCTCCAGGCGTCAGTGCTGAGGCTCAGTCAGGTGATGCCTGAAGCTGTAGTGTAGACTGAAGCCCAGTTGGCACTGTTGGGCTGCATACAGCAGCTCGAGCTCATTCCTGTGCAGCTTGCTCTGTGGTGGTGGGTATGAAGTGCTGGAAGCAGAGCTGATTTGGATCTCATTTGAGTGACTTAACCAACCGTCATTAGCTCTAGTTGAACCCATGGTGTGAATTCGCCACAATTTGATAAGTTAGGTAGACATCATCAGTTAAGGCCCACAGATCCTTACACCCTGGGGGTTGTGCCCATACATAGAAGCCAAGGTGTAGGGATCTGTGAAGTTGGTAATATCTTGGGGAATCTGAACCTGCTGTGCAGCTGTTTGCACAATCAGCTCTCCTACCCCTGTTTCCCCGAAAATAAGACCTACCCCAAAAATAAGCCCTAGCAGGATTTCTATGCGTTTGTGGTATAAGCCCTAGTGTGTCTTCTTGAGAAAAAATAAATATAAGACAGTGTCTTATTTTCGGGGAAACACGGTAGTAGACAGCCTTACTTCTAAAAGCTGAGTGATATATATTAGAAACAACAAGGAACCTTGCCCTTTAGAAACTAACACATCCATTATGGCACATTAGAAAGGATCTCGGAGAGCTTGTTACTAAAGGCACTGCAGTTTTGTTGTTGTTTATGTATTTCCATCCCCTCCCATTCAAGCCCCATAAATGCTATGTTGTGGCTACAGTCTGCCTTTTGGGAGGTTGCTGTGGAAGAATGTACTGTGACTGCCCAGGGGCTTAGCTTGTAATTAGGGAGCAATAGTTGCTTTTGTAGGACTAAAACCAGTCCCTTAAGGGCTATGAGTATTGCAGGAGATGCACAAAACGGTCCTTTCTGAAAATACCCTAAGCCTATATGATTCATTAGATTTAATTGCCTGAAGCTGGGACCACAGCCCATGGGAACATGTATGGAATTCATAAAGGTTGATTAAACTTGCTTTCATCTTTTGCATGTATTGACAGGTCATTGATTTCCCCCCCCCCTTCAAAATTTGAGGGGGAAAACTTAGTGGCCGAAGTAAAATAAGCCCCCCCCCCCAAATAACATGTAAATATATGGATTATAAAAAGTAAGACGAGCAGCCAATGTCATTGTGTTCTTATGTGCTGCTTTTTGGAACGGTTAAATAACTTGTTTTGTAATTCATGCAAGATGGTTCTTGGCTTCCTTTCCTCCAGGTATTCCTCCATAGAGAGGCATCGGTCAATGGCCATTTAGCTCTTACACATGCTGAATTTTTTGCCTTGTTTCTTCCATCAACAGGTAAAATAAAGAGGCTTGACGACAAAGCCGAAAGGGGGATCATTTCTAAAAGAAACCATGCGTGCACGTCTGTAGAAATGGTTTGCGGCTCAGTCAAGCTGGAGCTAACCAAATGAAGCTATGGGCTGTGCATCAGCCAAGCATGTTTCTGCTGTTCAAAATGAAGAGGAAGCTCAGAAGGGGAAGAACTACCAGAACGGAGATGTATTCGGTGGTGGGTATCATAGTTTTTGGTTTGTTTCTTGGTGGCTCTTGACCATTCTGCTGCAGTTCTCTGCTGCGGTGTCCACTTATTTCCCTACTTTAACCTGTTCTGATTATTTTCTGTGCAGACTATATAGAGGCACACCAACCAGTCCTGATGCAGGAATTTGTTCATGCTGAGCAACTGCATCAAGAAATATTAAGTGGTTTCTTCAGTACTGAAATGACAAAATTTGTTTTCCTCTGTCTCAGAGAATGTGCAGTACCTCATCTAAGTTTTTTCTCACGTAACTTTAAAATGAAGAAAAGCGAGAAACTGTGGAATTGCCTGTGTGCTAGGCTTCATCTCATCTTCTAGCCCTCTGTTCTGGCCTGCTTGCGTATAGATGTTCCTGTTCACACCTTTGTGGCATAACTTCAGAGTCGCTGAACAAGCCTGTTTCAGAAGAATCGTCGTAGAAAATGTTTTGGCCTGTCCATTGAAGGTTACACCTTGTTTGGATACTTATTTTCATCTTTGATTTAACAGGTTTCTATTCCACTTTTCCTTCCGAAACAGGATGGTCAACGTGGCTTTACTAAAGCTTATAAAAATCAGAAATGGCCAATACTAGTGTGAAACCAGCAACAAAAAGTTAAAATAATAATGTGAAGCCCAGCAGACAAGAACCTGTTGCGATGAAGCTGACTAGCAAGCTGCTGTATAATATATAGCTTGGCCCATCAGTATGAAAGTTCGGGAACAGTAACTTATAAACCATTGTAAAAAGCTAAATGTTTGTAACTTCATCACTTGCTCACATGCTCTGCCGATCAGTTGATGTTTCTGTAATTTGTTGAAGATGTATTTCTACCGGTTTTGGTGGCTATAAAATACATTGATAAGCATCAGTGGCAGTAAAGCATTGGATGGCCCAGCTTCCATCATATCTCAGAAGCAAAGGAGGTTCAGCTCTTGGATGGGAGACCTCCGAGGAAGTCCAGGGCTTCTACACAGAGGCAGCAATGACAAGCCACCTCTCTTCATCACTTGTCTCAGAAACCCTGCCCATTGGGTTGCCATAAGTTGGCTGCAACTTGACAGCACTTTACACACAAACTTTGGTGGTTATTGGCTACTGAGTGAGGACACACCACACATGCTCCTCATGGGCTAGGCCAAAGGGTTTGACTAGTTGGAGTGGGAGTAGCAAAGGAAACTAAAGGCCCCGGTCACACGGGCAGGAAACTGCGGGGGGGAAGCGTGGCTGTTTGCCCTGGGGCAAACTAACACGCAGTAAAGCGATCATACCTCCTGTGGAGGTTCTGTGGAGGTACCGTGGAGCTTCTGTGGTAACGGAGAGGCATCGATCACAACACATGCCCACGCGCAATGAAGAAGCGCGCGGCGCGGCGAACTGGTTTTCTTTTTTGTGCACACTACGAATGCGCATGCTCCGTTGGGTGCATGTGCGCAACCACGGAGACTTGGGGGGGAAAAAAAACCTTTTTCACAAGGGGACATGGGCGGGCGCCGGATGCCACCGGAAACGCGATCAGACGCCCGCCCTTGCCCCGCAGTTTCCGGAAACTAGTACCTCCGAGGTACTAGTTTTTTGCTGCGGGGTTTCGGGAGGAAGCCTCGGTTGTGCCACAGAAGCGCTACGCTCCCCAGATGTGCTGGTGAGATTGCGCCCGGAAACTCTGCCTGTCTTCCGTATCTCTTGCGTGGCTAATGTTGCGTGTGACCGCAGCCAAAGTCTGAGTTTTTCAGCTGACTAGAAAGTGGAGCCTTTGGAGACACCCAATAGAAGCTGTTTGCTGGGGAGGGGGGTCTGATCTGCTTTATTGACGCGCGCTGTATGTCGTGGTGCTCGTCTTCTCCCCCATGCACAGCTTCTGCATAGATTATCACGGAAAGCCCATAAGTTCTGTGTTGTCTCTTCTCAATGAAACAAATTCCTAGCAGCTGTTTTTGAAACATTCTAATGTTTAGGATGTTTACCTTCAGTGAGAAGGTAACAGCGTCCCGTGCACCTTGGTGTTTAGTCATGCCGGCCACATGACCACAGAAACGTCTTCGGACAGCGCTGGCTCTTCGGCTTTGAAACGGAGATGAGCACCGCAACCCTAGAGTCGGATTTGACTGGCTTTCGAGCAAGGGAACCTTTACCTTCAATGTTTAGGAAAGCAGGAGGCCATGTATGTGGAACAGTATCCATCAGATTGTTGGTCATCAACTGGTGAGCAGTTGGGTTTGCCCTACAGCCTGAGGTGTCTCAAATTCAGGGGGCCACCATCACTGCTTTTGAGGGGAAGTGGGAAAATAATATAGTAAAAAGCTTTTGTGGGATCCATGTTAAAAATGGGGCCAAAATCTAAAAAGCTTGGATCCAGCGGTGTGATGATAAGCCACAGGGAATCCCTCCCCCCAGTCCTCTGCAGGTGTGATTATGGCTGCAAGTGAAAAAGAAATCTGTAAGGGGAGGATGTTGTAAAAGTGCTGGGCTTGCCATATGGAGATAGTTGCCATGGAGAATGATTTTTTTTTAAAGGCCAGCAGTTTTGTGTGCACCAGCTCATAGCTATTCTGAATAATTGTTTTTCAGGCACAGTATGTTTTCTAAATCAGGCTGCCTGTCGTAAAGTGTTCATGCATTCCTAGCACATAATAAGCCCTCCTGCTAAGGAGAATAAAATAAAATTATTCATCAGTTGCATTTAAAATATCAGCCTCTATATCGTGCCTAAGCAGTATTGTGAATACTTATGAAAAAGAATACTGCTGTTCCAGTCTTGAAGTTGGTTGTGTTTCTTGTAGTGGCATATTTCTTGTGTGGGAGGTAGTTGTTAAGAGCGGAGAACTCTAATCTGGAGAACAAGCTTTGATTCCCCACTCCTTTTCCACATGAAGCACACTGCTGGGTGATCTTGGGCCAGTCACAGTTCTCTCAGAACTCTCTCTGCCCCACATACCCCACAAGATGTCTGTTGTGGGGAGAGGAAGGGAAACATCATTGTAAACTATGTTGAGATTCCTTAAGGTAGAGAAAAAGCAGGGTATAAAAGCCTACTCTTCTTCTTCCAGTGTCAGTTTTTTTAAAAGTCACAGTTGTATTTTCGATATAAAGCACCTGCTGCAGGTGAAGTTGGTCATGACTTTGAAACCAATAGATATAGTTGTGACTAATTTAAGGCCTGTTACTCTCAGTGGGCATTAATCACTGCTGGCTGTAGCTGGATCAGGTCCAAAGGGCTTATATTCCTGTTTGGTATAGTGGTTAAGTGCATGGACTCTAATCTGGGAGAACCGTGTTTGATTCCCCACTCCTCCACTTGCAGCTGCTGGATGACTTTGGGCAAGCCATAGTTCTGTCAGAGCTGTTCTCTCAAGGACAGTTCTGGAAAGCGATCTTTCAGCCCCACCTGCCTCACAGGGTGTCTGTTGTGGGGAGGGGAAGGGAAAGGAGTTTGTAAGCCGCTCTTGAGACTCCAAGTGAAGGGCGGGGTATAAATCCAATCTCCTCCTCCTTTGTGATACCTGGGCAGTGAACTTTTTAAGGTAACCTCTGTGTTCCCCTTCAGGATGTATTGATTGCTTTTCAATTCACCATTGATGGACAAGCTTCGAAACATAGCAGAAAATGTTTGGGGTGGGTAGGCAGGTCTATCTAAGCAACCCAAACATGAGGCTGTTGCTTTTCAGTATCTTTAGTTTTAGGTTTGTCAACTGCTACCCACATTGATATAAGTATTGGGTCTATAGCATGCAAAGCACCCTTTTCCTATGTATGGTGTCACCCAGGCTGCTGTTTTGGGGTTGAGCAGTCTGGTATATACCCTGATCCTGATTTAATATGGCACCCCACTTATCAAAGAAAACCATCGCAGAGAGACTCTCACAAAGAAATAATTTTTATTTGCGAAACCAAGATACAATGCTAGAAGGATGAAGTGCCAGGGAAAGCAAAAACATGAAACAGTGCAGCAGTACAGTAACACACTCCTAGCAAGTACTACCCTGGGTTGTTGTCTGATTGCAGTGAATAGGGAATCTAAGGGGAAATCAGAGATGAAAAGAAAAACATGCGTTGCTTTATCCTAAGAAGTCTGCAGGGCTGTGGTCCACTGCAGAAAAGAAGGGAAGCTGGTCTGGGCCAAAAGAAGGGAAACTGGTCTGGGTAGGGTTGCCAAACCTGTTTTTCCTTGCGGCGGGGGGCTCCCAGTTTTCTATGTTTTCTATGTTTTCCCCTCAAATGGCTGTGGCCTCACCCCCAGCGTGCCCAGCGTCATCACGTCACATCCGGCTGACGTGCACGCCGGGGTGGGATTTTCCCCGGGGCCCGATTCCGCGGCAGCGGAAATCGGGCCTCCAAAGTGGGGGGAAATCCGCCCCCGGGGGGATTTGGCAGCCCTAGGTCTGGGCCAAACTGAAATCACTTGAGCAGCTAGGGATCCAAGATGGAGGGATCCAGTGATTTAACAAAAGGCCAAAAGTCTGGGAAGTAGGCTCTGGTACAAAACCAGCTACAGAGTTGGGAGGAGGCAGCAATCCGGTGGTTTCTGCAGAAGAAGGTCCAGGATGCAGAACTGACTGCAAAGTTGAAAGAACTTGAGATGCCAATTTTGAGGGCTTTGGGGAGGGTGAAGAGGTTGGGATTCATAGCGTGATCTAGAGCAGAGTACTTAAACACAGGATGTGGCAAGAAAGTTTCAGGTGGGGTAATTGAGTTTACTGGAACTGGGGAAAAGGCTCTGGCTGTCCTAACAAATTTTGAGTAGCAGTGTAATGAGATTTCCCTAGCATTGGGGTCAAATTGGATGGGTGAAGAAGAGAGGGAATCTTCATGTTTTGAGGCAGTCAGCCTCTGAATCCCAGTGCCAGGAGGCAGCATCAGGGTGAGGCCTTGACCTCTATGCCCTTGTTGGCTACTGTCTGAGAAAGGATGCTGGACTAGATGGACCACTGGTCTGATCCAGCAGGGTTCTTGTTACGCTCTTATTACTTGCAAGTCAGATCCTGGGCTCTGG